TTGCTATTGTTTTAATCGTCAGCTTTCCATGCCAAACTAGAAAAGAAGAATGGTTCTATTATTCATATGTCTGTGGCTCAATTTCTCTTTTTGTCTGGGGATCAGAGTGAACCAACTTCTCTTTCAAAACAGGATTTCTTGAATCCTTGAGCAAAGCTCTGGGTGCTTTTCCACAGAGCCAAGGTGTTAAGCCTTGGGCCGGTATCAAAAATGGGTTTTTTGAGCAGAATGGAATCCAGAAATAATAACTTGGTGGCACTTACTAGCAGAGTGACCTTGGGCAAGTTATTTAACCCCTCTATGCCTCAGTTTTGATGATGAGATGGAAATAATAATAGTACCTACCACATAGGTAGTGGTGAGCATTAAATTAAATGGGGCCTGGCACACGATAAGGGCCCCATGTGTTCACCATTATCTCACTCCCACCCCCTCCCACACTTCTACTCTTTGTGTTCAAACTCCAAAAAAGTGGAGTACTTATTGTTTGTCAGGACAGGCATCATTCCCCACCCCACAGCCTATGAGCTTGAATCATAATCTCCAAAAAAGGGGACAGCCCCAAATCCAAAGCACCCTTTCTTTGTCTTCCTTCTGCAGGGGAGCGGAGTCGATGACAGGAGAAGGACATTGACACCACTGGCCCTGAGATACAGCATTCTCAGTGAATCAACACTGGGTATAAACCTCTTTGTGATAATTTGTGCTCGCTCCCTTTCCAAGGAGGTTGTGAGTGAGCTCCCTTCCCTTCACCCTGAGAAGAGCTGTGTTGACACGATTGACTCAGCACATTTTGAACACAGCAGGTGGAGCCCTTGGCTTGGGTCTGCACCTGACCCTTACACGTTTAACAATCAGTCTGGTGTACTCTGAGGTCTGCCGCATCTGAGGTCATTGACTCACCCCTGCCCATTCTGTGTCCTGCCAAGGCTACTAAGTGAAATCCAATGCTTCTCCCCAGGTTTTCTCAGTGGAACTGATCGAGCAGATATGAAGATGGTTATTATATCAGAAAACCTTGGCCTCAGCTGGGCAGGTGAGTTGGGGAGTTTGAGGTAGAAAAACACTTTGCAACTGATTTCTAAACCTTTTTTTACTATCCCTTGTGTATCTGTTGTCATTGGCTTAGATAGATCTGTTAATAAGTAACAGCTTTGGAGGCCAATGGTAAGGGAGGAACTCTCTCCATCCTCCATTTCTGTCTGGTTTTTCTTTGTATGAAAGAATCAACATTTGACATTACTAGAGACCTTAGAATTGATCTAGTTCATCTCGTTTTACAGATGGGAAAACTGAGATCCAGCTAAATAGAATGACTTTAATTATGTAGCTAGTTAGTGACAGAGCCCAGAAAACCCAGTAAACAAATAACAAACACTCCAACAAAAGATATGTCACCTGGCAGCCCATCCACTGATCCCTGTACTCTACACATTGCCTTTCTTCATAGACTGGCATTGCTGAGGGAAAGGAGGAGTTAAAGGGCAAGTTTCAATGTTTTTCATTTATAATCTCTGGCAGTAGTTGAAGTCTACCAGATGTCTTGTCAACAATAACGGTTGATCTTATTTCAAGTGAGGCAATGGGCAAAATAAAGTGAAAGCTCAAAATGTGCTTTACTCAGTCATAGACCCTATAACTTAATTCTCTCCACCCCTTTTTTGTCAGCTTTTATATGAATGAACTCCCATCGCTGAGTCACCTTGCAGAGAGGGCTTCAGACAAACACAGAAACCTTACTAATAACTTGCTGAAAGGCAGTGTGAGAAAAGTTCATAGCAGAAATTGAGAAAATATTCATTTTTAAAGTCAAAAAAGAATGTCTGTTGCTACTCCTTGGGTGCACACACATGCACACGTGTGTGTGTGGGAGGGTGGTACATGCACTTTCTGATTCTCACTATAACTTTCCCACTGGCCTTCCTCACCCTTGAAATTAGACCCTGATGCTGTTCTCCCTTCCAAAGCACCTGTGAGAAATAACAATAAAAATAATAGGGGAGGGAGAGCGAACATTCTGTGTTATTCCCTTGCATTTAAATGGCAACTTGTATTTTCATTTTAAATGTAAATAATGCCTTTCCCTGAAGAAACATAAACACAGAAATGCATTTCCGTTATAATTGCTTCTCAGTAGGAAGTGAGTGGCATCCTGGTGTAGTACAGACAGCACTGGTTCAGCCCCACTCCCAGCTCTGGCACCAGCCTCTTCTGTGACCTTGGATAAAGTTGTAACCTTGCTGAGAGGCTGTCTCCTCATCTCATATTTGAAGTGATGAAAGAAAGGGCATTTATCCATTCATTCACTTGAAACTTTTTTATTGAGCACCCTTATTCCTGCCCCATTTTCTGAGGATATAAAAGTGTAGGTATTTCTTGGTAAAAAGGAATCCCAAATCCAAAGGGAGACTTGTTTAACTTTCGGTGCTCCCTGCCTGACATACGAGCCCACAGGGCCCATCTTAGCAGCTGGAGCCGAGCTCTGCCTTGGCTCACACTTGTCTTGGTTCTTTCTTTGCAGAGCTGGCTCGGGAACTTCAATTCAGTGTGGAAGACATCAACAGGATCCGCGTAGAAAACCCCAACTCGCTGTTTGAGCAGAGTGCAGCCTTGTTGAACCACTGGGTCATCCGTGAAGGCAAAAATGCAAACAGTCAGTACCATTAAGCCCAGGAAGCCTCTTACCAAAGCCTGTGCCAGGACTTAGTCTTCACCAGAGTAGTTCTTCCTTCAAATTCCATTTGTGATGTTCATCTTTGAAACCAATCTCTTTTGCACTCTTTGTCTCTGTCTCTGTCTCTGTCTCTGTCTCTGTCTCTCTCTCTCTCTCTCTCTCTCTCTCTCTCACACACACACACACACACATACACACACACACACACACACAACTCAAAGTCACTGGGTCTTCTAGGCAATCCTGCCAGAAGAGAATACAATCTTGGCCTTCATCGTTTTCCTATCCTCAGAATAAGATAACAATTGCACCAGGACCCTGAGGTGACAGCATATGTGTAGGTTATGTGACTTCCGGTTGAATTTCTCAAACAGTTGAGGACTGTCCTCTTAGGACAGAGCATGGTGAGCGAAGCCCATCATTGTTCTCCCAGCAACATCTTTTTCTTCCATCTGGAGGGAAGATCTGTTTCACTCTTTTCAGCTTCTCCTCAGCCAAATTCTCATAACTGAAAACACGGGAAATTGAGTATTTTATGTTTGCATCTCAAATCAGCTGGTGAGGACCAAGGATTTCAAAAGACTAGAATCCAGTCATTTTCGCTCTCCTTTATTGTAGTATTCCTCTTTGATTACAAAATCAGCCTTTCCTTGCTTTGAAATTGGCCACTGTTAGGGTTTGGAAGAGATCTTTGAAGAGTAACAAAATCTTCAGTGATGCAGTTTGTTTTGATTCTGACAAAGAACAATGCCTCCATATTCTAAAAAAAAAAAAAAATCATCTCCCTCCCTTCTCCCATTTCCTCTGGGTCTAATTCCACCTCCCTCCCCACAATATTCCGCCCTGCCCTACAATAATTAGAATTCCCCGCCTTAAGTGTCTCTTTCCTTCTCCAACAGTGGAGAACCTGTACACCGCTCTCCAGAACATCGACCGGAGTGAGATCCTGAACATGTTGACAGGCTCTGGCAGACAAAGCCGCAATCTGAAACCGGACCGGAGGCACACGGAGCGGGACTACTCGTCTTCACCCTCCCAGATGAATGGTGAGTGTCTCCTTGAGGGAGGTGGTGCTGAGCCAAGCCCAGCCTTCCAGCCACCTGCACAAGACTCTTCCTGAAACCATCTCTCCTGCTGGTGTGAGGTCTGTCTCAACAAAGTCCCTCCCCAGTGGCAATGAGAGCAGAGGTGAGCTGGAGAGACAGGGGTGCACGTTTCTGCTGAGAGGCTCCCCGATGCTCCTATCAGCGACAGGCTCCCAGGGGGGCCCGGTGGAGTAGCTGACATCAGGAGTGGAGTCTGGGGCAACCAGTGGACTCCTGCTCCTACAGGTTACAAATGCTCTGTGTAGCTCTGCACCAGCAATGGGGCCTTTTGGGCTTCAGTGTCCCCATGAGTAAAACAGTCAATGATTGAGGAGCAAAAAGAGTGGAGCTTCTGACTCAAGATCTGATGTGGATTAACTGGGTGCTGTTTTAAAAGTCCTATCATAGCCTCTTCTGTGAGGCTAAGCTGGTTACTTTTGTTTGAGTCAGTCTCTCTTTGCCTCTCTCTCCCTTTTTTTCTCACCCCACCCCTTTCCACTCACTGTTTTTGATGTGGTTTAACATGCTGCAACATGACCAAGCCCCTGGCGGGGTGGGGTGGGCTGGGGGTGGGGGGGTGCTAACCTTTGCCCCAGCACCCCCACTGCTGCCTGTCTCTCGAGAACCACTTTCTTTACAGTAGCCAGCCGCATGAAGTAGCCAGGCCAGAGAACCCCTCCTACCTCCCCTCCATCCAGGCCAGAGGACCCCTCCTCCTTCCCCTCCTTTGGCTGTCCCTAACCCCTGGACACAGAAACAGAGCAGAAACCCACTCTGTGGTAGGAGCCAGGAGGCCAGAGTTCTAGTCCCTTTGTCCTTCTGACTCCATATACAGCTGAGTCATCTTCTCTTTACAATCAGCAAGTTGGGTTAAATCCCTAAGATTCCTTACAGACCTTGAAAAACGGTTTTTAATTCTGTGAACTCTCTTCCTCTTGTGCCTAATACATTACCCTCGGCAGCTGCATCGTGCTGCTTATGCTCCCCAAGCTCTTAGTTTAATGACTGTCCCCAACCCCTCACAAGCGTGCTCCCTGTGTGGACACCTGTGCTACCAGGCATGGGCCATGAATAAGTTCTAGGCTGGGCTAGGCACAGGGCCTGCTTCTGCCAGGTGTAGCCTGTGCATGCTGAGGCCCTCACACATTTCTCCTATGTCCTGTGTCTCCTGAAACATGCCACCTATTGCCCCTGGGTCTAGGGCTCATCTTCTGTTGTTCACGTCCTGTCACCTTTCCCTTCTGCCTCTGACCTCATCTGGACCTCTAGTCCGTTCATTCTCTTCCACTGCCTGTCTCCACTGTCTCCACCTCGGCCAGGTGTTCAGGAGCCGTCAGCCTCCATAGATGCATGTTATGGGAGACTCCTAGCCCTTCCCCGCCCCGCGTCTCATGGCTGTGTGCAGGGCATGTGTGGGTGTGTACGTGGGGGCTTGTCCCTGGCTCTCAGTGGAAGCTGCACACTGCTCACTCTTTACATCCAGGGTGAAGTGCTCCAAGACAGCGGTCCACTCCCACATTGCTAGGGGATCTGGTTGGAGCATTGCAGGACTGCTAAGTAGATCCACTGTCTTTCACAAAGGAAAGAAAGGAAGGTGGTTGAGGAATGCCACCAACTTCCGGAAATCCAACTTACAAAGCACTTCTCCTTGTCTATGTGATAACCAGTCATTTCGTTGGATTTCTTTACATCCCCAATACTGTTTTAATCAAGTCAAATCAGCATGTTTTGGTTTTTTTGTGCCCCAACTAGGTACCTACAGGACAATGGACCCATAGAATTACATGACTATAAACAAGGAAGTTACAACAATTAAAAATCATCTGGCAGGTTACAATAAGTGGTGAGGGAAAAAATAGACTCAAGTAATGGGGAATGGGAGTGCTTGGGTTGGGGGCGTAAATAAATGGTGGCAGTGGGCAACATTTGAAGGAGGGCTGGAAGGAAATGGAGTGAGCCATGGAAACATGGGGAAAGAGGACCCAGACACGCACACCATGCAGTGGCCTGTGTAGGGTGCCTCACAGAACAATGAGGGGTCACAGGGGCTGGCTGAGCAGAGGGAGGGAAGAAGAAAGGGCAGTAGCAGAGGTCAGAGGGCCACAGGAAGCTAGCTCTTAGAGACTATTCTGAGGACACTGGGTCTTACTTGGAGTGAGATGGAGGGCCATGGAGAGCTTTGGAGCAAAAGAGTAACATGATCTAATAAGTTTTCAAAGGACCCCTCCCCCTGCTTTGATGATTACAGATAGTCACAAGTTGAATGTTTCTATGCTTCCTGGCTTCTCTGTCCAGTTTCATCAACCCCCCCCTCTGAACACCCTGCTCCAGCAGGTCTCCTGGTAGACACAGGCTGTGTGCCCTACTTGCATACTCCCACCATGGCCTGAGCAGACGCTCAGAAACAAATGCCCAGTTTGGTTCATTCTGCTTTTACGGGCACCAGAATTGGTTTTCGTTTGTTTTTCTGCCCTCTTCCCTGTCCCAGGAAGAGTATCCTATGTCTGGGTTCCCTTCTAGTATGGAAAGAAAAAGCAGAAGGGGTCAGAGGTAGATGGGTGAGAGGCAGCAGACTCCCGCAGTTTCTCTGGCTTTCTCCTGAGCAGGAGCAGTGATGGCTTGTCCTGGGGCCAGCCCAGTCCTCTGTGCTGATGGTCACAGTCATACCTTACCTCCTTTGTGCTGTACCTCGTTTCTCTGCTTGTCTTAGACTCCCTGTGAAGCCATAGGGTCCAGCCCTCTGTGCTGGTCATACCTTACCTCCTTTGTGCTGTACCTCGTTCCTCTGCTTGTCTTAGACTCCCTGTGAAGCCATAGGGACGAAGGTTGCTCTGTGGTGTCAGCAAAATAGAAACCTGAGGTCTCTTTTCCTTTCTTCCTGGGACCTCCTGCTATATGCTTCTGGACTGGCCAGAACAGAAGGGGGCTTAAGTTAAAAGGACACTTTGCTTCTCCTATACAAGTGTGGACTACGCTGAGCCCTTGGGTAATGCTTGTGTAGAAAAAAATTGCCTAAGGTAGAAAAAATAGCATATTCCTAAAAATAAAACAGACTTCTCATATGAAAGGAAAAAAATGGACATCTCAAACCCACACCTGTCAGCTCCATTTGGTTTAATAAGTTGAACATATGTTAATGTCTACTTAGAAATAAAATGTTTTATTTCTATCGACTCTTAATGAATACACCTAGTGAATGTGGCTCCTGTCTGAAGCCAGGTTGTCCATCCACTCTTTGTCTAGCTTACTACTGACATTAAATTAGTCAAATAATCATTACAGTTGGATTAGCAGAGACCCAATGTGATAACCCAAGAGACCTGGGGATGGACCACTGGACTGTGCTGTGCCCCAAAGCAGTATGTATGAAACTATAATGTATAGGATGAAAAATACACTGGTTGAGATTAGACATTAGAGACATTACAGAAGAAAAGATCAGTGAACTTGACAACATAGCAATAGAAATTCTCCAAAATGAAACACAAAAAGAAAACTTAAAAAGATATCAGTCAGCTATGTGGCAATTTCAAGCAATCTTACGTTTGTGAAATTAGAGTTCCCAACAGAGAACAGGGTGAAAAAGTATTTCAAGAAATAATGGCTGAAGTTTTTTCAACTTTGATGAAAATGTAAATACACAGATCCAAGAAGTTCAATGAACCACATGTACAAGAAACATGAAAAAAACTATGCCAAACGAACTGGTGATAGAGAAAGACTTAAAAACAGCCAAAGAAGAAAAGACAGCATGTACAAAGGAACAAAAATAAGGATAACATCAGATTTCTCATTAGAAACAATACAAGTGAGAAGACAGTGGAGCAACTCCTTTAAAGCAGATTCCTTAACCATCTTTAAGGAATATCTTTAAAGTAACCAAGAATTTTACACCCGACAAAAATAACTTTCAAAATGAAGACAAATGAAGACTTTTTCAGACATGCAAAATCTGAAATAGTTTATCACCAAGAGACCCATACTATAAGCAGTGTTTTAAAAAGTATCTCTTCAGCCCAAAGAAACAACATGAAGAAATGAATGGTGTCAATAAATCACAAGAACAAATACATAATTTTCCAATTGAACATCTCTTCAGAAACCCTGCAACAAGAAGAAAGTGGAGTGAAATATTTAAAGTGTTGAGAGAAAAAAAAACCTCACCAACCTAAAAGTCCGTATTCTGAAAAATTATCCTTCAAAAGTGGAAGAGAAATACTTTCTTAGTTGAACAAAATTGCCAGCAGATTTGCCTTGAAAGAAATGTTAAAAGAAGTTTTTAGAGAGAAGGAAAATAATATAGGTCAGAAGTTTGGATCTACATAAAGTAAGGAAGAACATCAAAAAGGCTTAAGTGAGGCTAAAATAACAACTTTTGTTTTTCTTATTCTTACTTGATCTATAGGATAAGTTTGTTCAAAATAATGATAACAAGAATGTAATTATGTATTATGTATATATCATATACATATACATACATATACATGTTTATATATGCTTATATGTAAATGAAATGATGAATGACAGTAAACAGCTATAATGGGAGGGCCAGGAAGAAGGAATTAAGATTATGTTATTATAAGGTACTTACACTGTGGTATAGTTTTATTTAAAAATGAACTTGTGTTAGTTGTAAATGTATATTGCAAACTCTCTAGGGCAACCACTAAAAAAGTTTTTTAAAAAAAGCATAACCAATATGCTAAGAAAGGAGAGAAAATGAAATAATATAAAATGCTCAATTAAAACCTCAAAAGGCAGAAAAAGAGTGAAAGGTAAAAATAGGAACAAAGAACAAGGGCAACAAATAGAAAGCAGTAACAAATATGGTAGATATCACTCCAACTATATCAATAATCACTTTGCACATCAATGTCTAAGTGTACCAATTAAAAGATAGAGATCGTTAATGTGGATCAAAAACACAACCCAACTATATGTTGTCTACATGAAACCCACTT